TTTTTTTCTTCTCTGCACTGCCATAATTATCATTTTCCAATACTTACATTACAAAAAAGATTTAGAATTCCAAAAGCCGTTGGAAAAGGAAACTGAAAAAGAAGAATTTTTAGTCAATCACCGTGACCTGATTATCAAAAAAAGCCTAACTGCTGAATATGAGAAAAATTACGCTCGTTCGTTAGAAAAATCTCATACTGCTGAAAATAAACGGGATTGGATTTTCACTCTCTCTTTCGTAGTGCCATCCTATTCTCTACCAAAATTCGCTCCTTTTTTCCTCTTTCTCTTTGTTAAGAATAATCCCAGCAAGCCGGTTTTTGATACTGCTAACAGCCTGATTGAATTAACCAACGATACCAAAAAAATGGCCGAAAGACTACGGATTTACCCCTTCGGGCTTTCCGCCCAAAAGCAGATTAATGATTTTCTGGCTGAACCAGAACGAGACGACATTCAAAAAAATGTTCTCGTTTCCGAACCAGTGGAAAGCATAACCCTCCAAAAAGTAAGTTTTGCCTATCAGAAAAGTAAATCGGTACTAAAAAAAGTGGATTGAGAATTTCGCCGCGGTCAGGTTAACCACCTAACCGGTGAAAACGGCTTCGGTAAGAGCACCATAATCAGTCTAATTATGGGATTATATCAGCCCAATCAGGGGCAAATATTAATTAATAATAAATATAAATTAAATGAAATAAATCTAATAGCGTGAAGAAAAAAAATTGCTTATGCCGAACATGAAAATTTGGTGGAAAATGGTTTGTCGACCGGTCAGAAGCAGCGGGCGGACCTCAACAGTCTTTTGACAACTAGCGAAAACAAGGAAATATTTATTTTTGACGAAGCCGATAATGCTCTGGACGAAAAAAACAAAAAAGAGTTTCGCCAAAAAATAGAGAAAATTAGCAAAAAGAGATTGGTTATTTTGATAAGTCATTAGGTTTTTGTTATTAAAAACTAATTATTATGGCTAACAAAAAAAAGTCCTTTAAGGAATATTTACAAGAAATTGAAGATCCTCATAATAATCAAGAGGTAAATTATGCCCTTCCCGAAAATCCTTCTCCTTTACAAGTAGCCAAATTTAGGTTATGTAAAAAGATATTAGGTTATAAGTTGGATAATAATTTAACTCGCGAACAGATAGCCGAAAAGATTGGAATAAGTAAAGCAGAGACGGAAGATATTTTATTTAGTCACATTGAAGAATTTACTTTGGATAGACTAATTACTTATGCTGGCAAATTATTAGATCCCGCTGAAGTAAATGTTACAGTGGAACAAAAAAAATCTGATCTTCATGCCTAAACCTTTTAAGTTAATTGAGGATAAATTCAGTGAGGTGGATAACGAACGACAGTGAACTTATAAGATAAAAACTATTTTTAATTATCAGCCCATAATAGCAGTTACTATTACTGACCATCCCTGAAAAAAGTCCGGCCGAACCATGATTACTCATGAGTTGATTTGTGAGCTAATAGAAAAATTAGAGCAAGAAGAAAGATTAGAACCAACTAAATATCAAGGCAAAAGAAAAGTTTATAAATGAGAGATAACTTATCAGAGTAAAAGATATAGGTTTTGGTTCTGGTTCAAGGATGGAACTGATAATCAACTCTGAATTAGGAATATCCATCCAATTGATTAATAATTATGATGAGCATGTTTTCATTTTTCTTGCTGAGCATATAAGCAAAAGTATTAAAATCCTTATTATACTATGTCAGAAATTAGTAGTAAAAAAACCAAAGCCGAAAAGATATTAGAGGACATTGAAGCCCAGTTGCGGAAACTTATCTCTGAGAAAAAAGAGTTGAAAAAGAAATTTTTGGATAAATTGAAAGACTTATCTAAACAAGAAAAAGAAAACAAAAGTTGATTTGATGATAATTGACGAGAGGCTGAAAAGATTGAGAACAAACTAATGCTACTTTGAGATTACTGAAAAAGGGAGGTAGAAATATTACAACTAGAAAGAAAAATGACAGCCGGAGTATTGCCAACCGAACGCGAGGAAATAATGAAAGAAATCCAAAAACTTAACGCTTATAATATTACGTTAGAGCAAGGGTTTAAGAAACGAAAAATTGATGCGGATGTAGTGACCGAAATACGAAAAAGATTAGGTATTTGGGAAGAAAAAGAGGATTAAAGTGGGAGAGAAGCAGTATTTAGACCTCTTGGATGAAATAATGAAAAATGGGGCCAAAAAATCTGACCGAACCGGAGTTGGAACCAAGGCTTTATTTGGCTGCCAAATGCGGTTTGACCTCCGTCAAGGATTCCCCTTACTGACTACTAAAAAAGTCAATTTTAAGGCTATCGTCCACGAACTTTTGTGGTTTATTAAGGGCAACACCAACATTAAATATTTGGTCGATAATGGCGTAAATATTTGAAATGAATGACCTTTTACCAAGTATAAAAATTCTTCTGATTATCAGGGGGAAAGTTTGGCCGAATTTAGAGAAAAAATTAAAAATGATAATGAGTTTGCCAAAAAATATGGTGAATTAGGTCCGGTTTATGGTAAACAATGACGTAATTTTGGAGGTGTGGACCAGTTAAAAGAATTAGTGGAAAACCTAAAAAATAATCCTCTTTCCCGCCGTCATATCTTAACGGCTTGAAATCCACCGGAAATTAAGCAAATGCTTTTGCCGCCTTGTCATTTATTGACCCAATTTTTTGTTTCGGAAAATAATAAATTGTCCTGTCTGCTATATCAAAGAAGTGGCGATATGTTTCTAGGAGTGCCGTTTAATATTGCTAGTTATAGTTTACTGACTACCATGCTAGCCCAAGTTTGTGGTTATGAAGTAGGAGAATTTATTCACGTCATTGGTGACGCCCACATTTATTTAAACCATTGCGAGCAAGTACAAGAGCAGTTAGGCCGCAAACCCAAAAAATTACCAACCCTCAAACTCAACCCTTCAATAAAATCGGTTTTTGATTTTCGTTTTGAGGATATTAGTTTAGAGAATTATGAGTCCTATCCTCCTATCAAAGCCCAAGTGGCGGTTTAGAAAGTAAAAAATAGAATCACTTGCTTAAAAAACTCCTAAAATTATGTTAACAAATTAATTTTTTGGTTGTTGAATAACTATTTAATATTTTTTGGATAATCGCCTTTTTCATTTGAAGTGAATAATCAGCCCCATTATTAACCAATTGCACCAACATATCCAATACTTTGAGGGCTTGGGGAGTTATGTGAAATTCATCAAAAATAACCCCTTCGCCAGTGCTTCATAATAGGTAAATATTTTTGCCAGTGCATAAGTATTGAATAAGCAATTGAATTTCAAAAATAAGTAGTGCTAGCGGGCTATCATTAGCCTTAATATTACTAGTTTTCAATTCAATAATGTAATCCTGAAATTCTAAATCGACATAAGTGGCCAACAACTCGTCTTTGTAAAAAACATGATGAAGTTTTTCACTACCCAAAAAATGCCCCAATTTTAGTGATTTATTCTTTTTCAAAAAA